TTTAACGTCCAATGAGGCCAATGAAGACGGTCATACAGTGTGCTATGGGGGACATTTTGCTCGAACAGCGGCGCATCGGCCTACTCTTATTTTAAATTTTTTATACCAACTCTAATTAGAAGTTTGTCCATGTGCGACAGGCCTTTGTATCTGATGGGCTGTGTCGACTTCTACTAACAATATGTTTGCCAACATATCAGTAGTTTATTGAGTTAATCCTCTTTATAAAACTTGAGCATTGCTTTTGTTTGATACTGCCCCGATAATTGTCCAGACTAACCAGTCTAACTGTAAAATTAAAGCGTTGTAAATGTCATGTTGTCAGACACAGGTGTAAAGTCAATATATATGAATCACGCCCAGCAAAATTTATTATATGGAGAATACTTACATCCCCAGGAACAAATCATAATTTTTAAAAAAAAGACAACAAATACTTAATATGTATTTATTTCAGCAATTTGAAACGTCAAAACGTAAATATCGAACTAACATTATCATTATTAGCATCGACACTGATAGATTTTATAGTTCTTTTAAGAAATTAAGAATTATCAGATTCAACACTATATTATTTTAGAACCTAATCAAAGAGAGGTCTCCTCTCATACTTTCATTGTTTCAGCAAATATTTACATATTTCAATAATAGGCCTACTGTATGTATTGATTTTGCTATCTTGTTTGAAATCTTAATGTTTTTAACAATATGACTGGAAAGGGCTACTCTATGTTTTTGAAACTTGTGCATGATCCTTTTGATATGTTTAAACAATTGATACACTCACCAACTGCCAAGTCGCCTGCGTTCTCAGTAGGTTGTTAGTAATCTGAAAGGTAACAGTACAATTGGTTTCTGTCAGAAAAAATAGATTGTGCCCGGCCGAGGATTCGCAAATTAAGGGCAATAAGTTTAGTAAACATTCGAGATATTTATGCTTTCGGGCACCTGAACAACCTATTAAAGTTTTCAAATAATACAATGCATGTTCTCCTGAACTATTTATAGATTACAACTAAATTTAGTATATAATCATCACGGTGATTTGTTGAAATGAACTATAATAAGCTTACCCCATATGTGAAATTAAATCTACTCTGGCTACCTAATAAACACCAGATCAATTTTAAAATAAATTCCCTAACTTTTAACTGTATCAACACCCCCCTCCCCCGCACCAGCTTATTTAACTGATTTATTAATACTATATGTTCCAACTAGAACTTTACGTTCATCAAATACTAATCGGTTAGTTTGTACTGTTCCTAATTCCAAACTTGGAGAAAGAGCATTCTCTTACACTGGTTCAAAAGAGTGGAATAAAATACCAAAAACTGTACAGAATAACCCCAATATATCAACTTTAAAAACAGAATATTTTCGATTTAATTATCAATATTAAATTTATGTTATATTTTGTGTAAGAAACGCGTCAAGTTTGTGTATGTCTATAATTTTGTTTTAGATGTCTATATTATATTTCTTTGTAAAGCGCCACAAAGCAGTCAAACGGACTGAATGTTCAGCGCTCTAGAAGATTATTATTATTATTATTATTAGTATAATTATTATTACAATATGGACGTAATTCATGATTCAAACAGTAACTCCGTGAAGTCCGTGAAATTCCATTCACATTTGTTGGACTTTAAATAAAATAAATACCATACAATACAATACAATTAAATTTTGAATCAAATTTTTAAGCTCAAAGACGTTTATCAGCAAATCGGCAGATGAAATACGTATGACCATGCCAAAGTTCACAAACTTTCTTTTTTTGCATCTTGTTGTATCACCGCAAAGTTCCCCGAAGCTTGTTGGTTGAATAAGCAAACGGCACATCCACTCTGCATCACAATGTGTCCAGAACAGCTTTGGGTGCAGAATGGCTTATGTTTCACAGAATAAAGGGATGAATAAACTATTCTATAGATTTAACTGGAATCCTATAATAAACATTGAATTTTGAGCGAGTGATAATGCGGCGGCGACTCGTTCCTGCTAACCTTATTTTATTTTATTTGTGGGTGTTTTTCTGTATTTAGTGTGTTTTGGGTATTTAGTGTGCTTTTCGGTATCTCGTGGTGACTTTGGTACTTTTCGGTAGTTTTTCGCTGTTTTTCTATTTTTCGGTGTTAAGTGTGACCAATCATTAGTTAATAACAATTTTCACGAGTATTTACTTGTGTATTTGTTGATTCTAAGAAAGGTGGCTTTTGTTGTAGCAATAAGTGTTTTCCGTATTTTACAATCAAGTGGATACCAGCTCTCACCGAGGTACTTTCAGTATTGACAAGACAATGATATAACTATTTTTGGTATATATGAATGATCCTTTGATAACATCTATGTATTTTGTATAGAATATGTTAAACCACCTTTATAACAAATATCCTGAACATAATTATGTATTGACGTAAATTCCACCTGCACAGTCAATAAACGTACAGCCTATAAGATGTTAAATGAATTATTAAAAAATCCTTAAAAGTTTAAATTTAAGGTCAAAGTCTGTCGTTTTTGTTAAGTTGTGATGATTTAAAAATCTAATTGTCAGTGGTATATACCCTCTATTGCTTCGTTGCTTAAAATTTAATTTTATAGCACACACTGACTTGACACCAGAATTATAGTGCCTATATTGTGTCGCGTTCTGTACAATCAGGGCAAATTAAAGAAAATGTCTAACTGAATTTTCATTTTAATGTAAAATGATTAACCAAAGAGTTAAACCTATTGAAAGTGTACCCCAATCGTAGATTCATCAATTGGCCCTTCAACCCCTGCCCACCCCGCCTAAATTCATCACCACAAATTCAAATACCAGCCGTGATATCCCCGGCCAGCGAAACCCGTCAGTTATCCACTAATGTCATCATGTCTGGTATATATACTGAGCGCCATGGAAAATGCATCACTTAGTTTTTCGTATAACAAAATGATCCTGTAAACATATCTTATTTATTTTGCTTCTTACTGTGAACAATATTCAAATGGGAACACATCAATAACAACACATTTGTACACTTATGTAATCAAGGGTACAAAGTCAAAGGGGTCAAAACCAAAAGTACGACACAGGTGTCAGTAGCGCGTGTGTCCTCCACGGGCCATCATCGCGGTAGGCTACAGCATTAACGCGAACCCTGCAAATGTGTAGGGCGATCCGGTGATGAAATGTGACCCCCCCCCCCCACACCATTACACTTCCCCCACCCCATCGATTCGTTTCGAAGACGCGGCAGTCTGCAAGACGTTCCCCAAGACGTCTCCACACACGTTAACGGCCATCAGCGTGATAAAGATGAAAGCGACTCTCATCACTGAAGAGCACACTTTGCCAGTCTACTCTTCTCCATGTCTGGTGTCCTTGAGCCCATATCAAACGCCGCTGACGGTGATGATCCCTGAGGATAGCTCCAACATAAGGTCGTCGTGCACGGAGTCCTACTTCTCTTAGACGACGTCTTACGGTGTTGGCACTTACTGGTCCTTGTCTTCCGACGACTGCTGCACCTGTTCGAGTCGCTGGGCGGAATCTGTCACGCAGATGAGTGACCCGGATGTAGCGGTCTTGAGCCTGGGTTGTAACGCGTTGTGGACCAGGACGTTGACGGTCACGTGTTGATCCAGTAACTCGAACACGTTCCAACAACCTTACAATAGTGGACTGATGACAATTGAAGTGTCTGGCAATAGCACGTGTAGACATGCCAGCCCTGGACATTCCCATGGCTTTATTCCGTTGATTTTCAGTAAGTCTCGACATCTCTAGCTCGATTCCTTCACACGTCCAACAACAAATTACGACAGATTGACGTTTCACAGTTCATGTACTGCATATTAAGTTGAAAACATGCTTTTAAAGGGCTCACACACGGGCCGATATATTTTGCATTTGGGAGCATTGTGTGAAACAATAGTTCATAGTATTGCATAATATTATACATACAAAACCACCTAGTAATAAAATATTTGGGAATAAAAAGTGATGCGTTTTCCATGGCGCTCAGTATATGTTTTAGGGGTTATTCATGGTGATTGGTATGTTATGAGAGAGAGAGAGAAATGTGGTTTAACGTCCACTGGGCACAAACTAGGTCTTTTCGGGACTTACATATGGTTTAATTTTATTTCAATAATTCGCTTGACCCAGTTGGCTCAATGACAGGCCTTATGATTCAGCGCGCATGTGGTGCTGTGCTAACCATTCGGCTCCCCCCACCATTTTATTAGAGGTTATTCACTACTGAAATGATGTTTAGTATGTTACTGGAGGTTACTCATCATTGTAAATATGGCTGGTATGTTATTAGAGGTTATTAACTACTGACAGATGTCTGGTATGTTATTAGAGGATATTAGAGGTTATTCACTACTACCATGATGTTTGGTACGTTATTAAAGGCTGTTCACCACTACAATGATGTCTGATATATTATTAGAGGCTATTCGCTACTGACAAGATGTATGGCATGTTATTAGAGGTTATTCACTACTGACATAATGTCTAGTATGTTATTGGAGGTTACTCGCTATTGTCAAGATGTCTGGTATGTTATTAGAGGTTATTCACTATTGTCTAATTATCAAAGGTTATGGTCAAGGGATTGGCTGTCATTGGATATCCAGTAAATCCTGAGAGCATGCTTTAAGAATAATCCATATGTTCCCATTATATCCTTATGTATCTAACTGAAGTCCAATCCCCTTTCCAAATGAAACCTACAAAAATGTATATATTTGCAAACATACTGCTGATCGTGTACAGCGCTCCTTGTTCAAGTTTATCACAAGTAACGCCTTATCCGTCGTCTTGTCGATTTAATTACGCTAAAATAAATAAATCGACTCCTTCAAATTTTTTAGCTTCACTTCACCTGATGAAAACTAACAATCCCAGAATGCGCTTGTCTTTAATCCACCAATAGAATAACCCGTCTTATCAAATGATGGTGGAATCCTTTGCGCGTGGTTTTAATGGATTCCGGCTTAAAAGTGCGCAGGTCTATCATTTGTTTTACCTGCAGTGATTTAACGTGACTCCACCCATGTCATCTACTATATATACCTGTAACAACAGTATTTTATTTATCCGTTCACATAAACCAAAACAACTTTCGATTTTGATAGACGGATTCTCACTTTCTTTAGTACAGTAACATATACACCACGAGAATCATTTAATAAGGTAGGTCAATCAATTTTTCACAATATATTATTTATAATTTTGGTATCTCTCGGAAATTTGTACTTACAAATATTAGTCGGTCATTTCCACAGTTTTCTTATACAGAATCACCAGGTGCATTTTCATGTCAGTGTACACATTAATTTGTTTAAACAATGCACCGTTATAATATATCTAATGCCGTTAATATTTCAGTAACAGAAAGCGATATTAATGACATTTATTTGATGACGAAAGAATATATCATATTACTATGAGGCTTTAGAAAATCATTTGTATTAGCTTTCTTGCTATTTTTATTTCCAAATGATACTTTAAAAAGACAAAAAATAACACAATTTCTAAAATATTTAATGGTTATTTTGATTTTTTATTAGTATCAAATATATTTAATAACGCACCGTACGCTATTATCGTTGATTAGTATGTCTTTATAGACGCATAGTTATTTACCCTACTTTCAAATTTATATATAAAACAAATTTGAGAATACCGTTTGTGTAAACTTCAAAGTTTGTAAACTTTAAATATCTTCACTTGACCTTTTATCCACAAGTATTTTTGCTATTTTATATATGTGTTCTAATCGTTGACGAAAAGGTTGTCTTCCTCACTCTTATGATGATATAAATATGGTTTGATATTATGGTTGTATGCGAAAATTACCTAGTTTGTATCGTATTTAGCTACTTTCGTTGACGTAAAGTGTGTTACGGATTACTAAGTTTGATAGTAAACCTCTTGAATATTTCTATTTGAACTAAAATATCTATGGCAGTCTTTTTCAACTTGAACGACTGATGAAAAGGATTGCTCGCACTTAGTATGTATAGTATGTATGTGTGGCATATAATGTTCGTAATCTAATAAATTGTATTAGATCCGTTAATATAGAAACATTTTAACAGTGAAACCAGGCTTGTTCCGCAAATCTGATCATTATTGGAGTTCCTGCAAGCGACCCTTGAAACAGATCATTGCAGATCTCATGAAATCTTAATTGTTCGGGTGATAATCCTTCACAAAAACTAAGAGAATATGAAAGTATTTGTTTCGACAAAAGAATACTTTCTAAAATAACGTTTGTCTTTATTTAAGCAAGAACTGTGAAGTTAGTTCTCCTAATCAGCAAATATTCAGCAAACGTGGCCAGTAATCTGGTCGTACTTGTTCTATACACACTAATACAAATCTTAAGTCTAACAAGACTTATAAATGTTGTTAAAGGCTGCGTTTTGTCTAATATTTGTACTGGTTTTAAAAACAAAACTTGACATTTTCCTTTTCCCATTTCTCAGCTTCTATCATGTAATGTGTAGTTCATCTGTATGTAATCGGGTGTCTATATACATGTAATGGCTTTATAACTATTTAAGAAAACGTCCACCATGAATATCGAGAGAACAGATCAACTTTTATTTCTGTGTCCAAAAGATATAGCACTGTAAAAACTATTTCGATAAAGTTATCATCTAAATGTTGACTTAAAGCGTTTTGTCGGATATTGCCTCGCCGTCCAGTAATTCTTGATTCCGATTTGTTTAACTACCAGCATTCACTTTCTGAAAGCCCAATCAGAACAAACTGGGTGTTCCTTCGAAAATAAGATATGGCAACGTGAAAAGTTTTTTATCTGCATTTACAAATGTCACCAACAATCATGTTTAGATCAAATTAACGAAAAGATTTTAATTTATGTGGCGTATTTCCACTTCATTTGCAGTAATATGCGTTCTCATAAAAATCACCATGGTAATGCTCCTTCAATTTATACGCATGGTATATCAAAATTTCTGAATCAAGAATGATTAGTTTTCGCCATGAAATTGATTGTATATTCCTGTCAACTCAAACTATCATTTTATTAAATGAATTCCGTTAATGTGGTCATATTGGTCCAACCGCAGACAACCGTAATCTCTCTAGGTTCTTGGCTGGTTTCCGCACTATTTTTTCTGAAACACGTTACCTTAGTATTGTGGTAAAGGTAGTCAACGTCAATCTGAGTTAATTTGGCCAAGTTATTGCTCCTGACTGATAGTTGATCAACATATATTACCGAAAATAGTTCAATTGGGTTTTTTTTTGTTTTTTTCGCCTCCTAGGTGATTATTGTCTCGAAAGAATCACCATATAACCCGGTTGGTGCTGACGTGCCATAAAACCATATTCCATTCATTCATTCCTAAGTGATTATAGATCAAAGTGCATTACAATGCTCGTGAGCCTTCTCTTGGGTTAAGTATCTTTGGGATTTTCACACTGTGTTCAAAATGGTATAGATGATCCATTTTAATTTTGAACCTTTTTGGCTTAAAGATTTCTAAGGTTAAATTGCCCTGTCTGATATTTGTGCTGGGGTAAGTTTAATATACATAAGCAGTTCTTTTAATTTTAGACAATAACTGCGAATAATGAATATTAAAGTAAAGAGCTCTGCATTGCTCATTCCTTGGTAATTGGTATGATTTTAATAAATTACAAGGACTAGTAAATATTTAAGTAAAACTGATGACAAATATAGGGGAAAATATTTTAAAAAATAACGTTTTCGATCCGGTTATGGCTCCCGGTGCCAAAAACCGTGTTTCGCCCTGTTAAACATGCGTGATCTTGCCAGGCAAACTACCTTTATGTTCATTACCGTAACTAACAAAAAGAAGAATATATAAGCTTATATTGAATTTACAATTTTTAAGGGACTTCTGAGATGAGAATCCTTCCTGTTTCAGTCTCTTTTTTTAACGTAAATTATCCATTTTTTTTTGTTCCCATTTACCATCTTCATTATTCCGGTTGGTGAAACTGGGACATTAAACCATGTCTGTATCGCCCGCAGTGTTTGGTCATTGCAACAGTTCTTGTTGACTCCAGGGTGTGAAGTGTGGTAAATTAGTTAAATGACCTGGGATCACCACACACAGTAGCTTCAGAAACAAGAAGGTGACATGTCATCGTTTCTCATTCTGTTTCACTCTTCATGTATGTTTAGTATTATTTAGAGGGTGATTATTTACATGTGGTAATAGACGCATTATCTCCATGTAGAAACGTGATCACAAATAAACCACATCTTAGTGTCAATGTGCTGTAGCATAAAATATTGTGGTAAATCAGTAATTGCATTTATAGGACAAAACACTACTTAGAAACGATCAAGATTTTGGTGAATTTCATCCCTAGACAAAAAAACTTATTCAGTAATTTAACAGCTACAAAAAAAAAAAAAATAAGATAAAATAAAATAAAATAAAATGAATTAGGTTTTTAACCTAAGAATCAAAACATTTAATTTCATTTGCTTCTATTTATTAGAAATCTCACTGAATATGTTAGAATGCAAATTAAAATGTAATATTGTCTAATATTTTGCCTTGTCTTTTATTTATCATTATTATAGACTCTATATCCAAATTAAGAAAATTTGAACGTATAATACACATATTGGCCAAAACTGATGTGGTTTATGATAAGGAAACAAATATCAATCCCTTCACACTGGCTGTGCATTGTCTGTCCGATTGAAGCCAACCTTTTGTTATCTGTTGACCGCTGTTGACACTGCATTGGCCGAGAAAGTTCATCTGGATTTTCCGACGTGGTTTCCCCTTGTCAGTGGTGCAGAACGGAGGGCCTGACAAGGACAGCTGTCTAGTACTTCGGATGAGACAAAAAAACCGAGGTCCCGTGTATACATTGGAAAGCACGTAAAAGATCCCTTGGCAGTTGGAATGTGATATAAGAGTAGGCGATAGTGCCGCTGCCAGGGCAAACTTTCCCTCGTAGCACACTGTATGGCGTATGCCCGTCTTCATTAGCCCAGAATAGGAGCATAACAGTAGGACGTTAAACCCCATTTCATTTCATTTCATTTCCGCCGTTGACAGTCCAAAAATCATAGACATCAATAACATTTAAATTATATATAACAAAGATATAACAAAGTGTCTTTTACTTCATAGACAATTTTAGACTAATTTTCCATGGTTCATTACATGAAAGTGATGGGATATATAAAATTTCATACGTCTTGTTCCTTTTGGAAATGAAAAAAACTTTAAGAGTTTTACTATGATCCAATCAGTCTAGCTGTACCGTAGAGTGTTAAAATCATTCCAATTTCACTAAACCTACAACCGGCTTCATAAGTATTCACCCCACCTCCCCAAAATGACACCCCTTTAAAGTTATATTTACTCTGGGAAATGTAGTGGAAAAAAGGCGTCATCGGATCATTAATCTGTAAATACTGAAGTAATTTTGTTTAATATAAGAACAAGAAGAAAGCAGCATAATATCGTTGCATTCCTAATGCAAAAAGGAGTAAACATGTCTTTGTGCTTGCTAGTGTTTAATTAGTATGCATAAAAGGGTCTATTAACTAATTACATAATATACAGGAGCTTAAGTAGTGTTTTAAGTTCATTCAACAGTAAAATAAATAAGACTTGGCTATAAGTACACCCCCTGTATAAACTCTTCATGGCACCATTTTAAATACCCTCTTACATAGGTGTATATACTTGCACAGTGCTTTCAAGTTATGCAAGCACCCATTGACAATGTACATAGTTAAACAAAGGTACCACAACAACCCAACCCTGCACAAAATTAATTCCGATTGTAAATTAAACTCATTACATAGAACCATTGTGTAATTTCGTCCTGATTAATCTATTGTTGTATTGTGGAATTTTATTTTTTATGGGAATAATGTTCTCAGATGTATTGATGTAAGGGAAGAACAAAGCAAATGAATGACACAATACATTCTGATTATCATTATCTGTTTAATACCAACAATAGAAATAAAAGACAAATTCCATTTGCAGCATCTTAGTCAAAGGTACATTAAACAGAAAGATGTTTACTTGTGATCAATGTCATTATCATCTTATGAAAAAAAGTTTGCTTGTAGAATAATGACTTTATCTAAATAATCTTTTAATCTTGTTTTATTTGATTACTGAATTGTTTGTCTCATTTAAAACTTTTTTTGA